AACTGTGTATTCAGGTTCTGTCCTGATAACCAAACCTTATTGCCTACTCTCCACAGGTGATACTTCTGCCCATGAGTTTGTTCTGCCATTCACTGCATAGCAAGGTTGTGACAGGACAGTGCTTCCTCTCTAGACTTCTGAAGTAAATGGAGTTGTCCTTCCACAGCAGGCACAGTAGAGTCGGGAAGGGTGTGAGGGAGAGCCTGGGGTTCATATCCCATCATAAGGAAAAGGGTGAAGTGTTATGAGAGTTGTGTTTTCAGTAGTTATGAATGAATTCTGCCATTGGTAGGTGTTCTACCCAGTTTTCTGGGTGGTTATAACAGTAAATGTGAAGATAAGTCTCAAGTTCCTGGTTGAGATGCTCAGTCTGTCCATCAGTCTGAGGATGATAGGTGGTAGAAGCAGCAATGTCATAGTTCAAAAGCTTGGTAAGAGCTTTTGAGAAATTTGATATGAACTGTGGACTGCAGTCAAAGATAATTTTCTCATGCAGGCCAAATCAGTGGTAGACATATTTGAAAAACTTCTTTGTGATGCCTTCAGAAGTGATATTTTTTGTGCAAGGAACAAGAATCACCCCCTTCATAAGGCCATGGTTGACCACAACCATAACAGAATCAAAACCCACACACAAGGGAAGGTCAGTGATGAGGTCAACAGATACCTGAGCAAAGGGCAAAGAGGCAACAGAGGGAATTGGCACAAGCAGGGGATCATGGGGTGCATGTCAGACTTCATCTGCTGACATAAAGCACAACCATCGACATATTTCTGGATATAGGAGCCCATAGAAGGCCACCAAAAGCCCCACTTGACAAGCTCCTCAGTTTTAAAACAATGGCAAGCTTAGTACCAGTGACATGGTGGAGCTCGATATCATAGCAGGAGAGAAGGAGCTGCCAGTGAGCCTGGCAGCAAGTCAACTTCTGTGTGGTATGGAAATAGAGCAGATTCTTGTGGTCAGTGAAGACAATGACTGGATGGGGGTTCCCTTCTAAGTGATGATGCCATTTGGTCAGGGCATGAATAACTGCAAGGAGTTCGTGATTAAAGATCTGGTAGTTACATTCTGCAAGGTTCAGGGTCTGCGAGAGATATCCATGCAGATGGTAAACTCTATTCTCATCAGTCTGCAGTAGCACTGCACCAGCTGCAACAAGCGAAGCATTGGTAGCCATGGCACACTGCCAGCTAGGATCTGGGTTACATAGGACAGGCTGCTTTAGGAAACATTCCTTCAGCATGGTAAAGGTGGAGGTACAAAGGTTGGTCCAATGGAACACCATATCTTTCTTGGTGAGATTGATCAAGGGTCTAGCAATATCTGAATAATGAGGGACAAAATTGTGATAGAAGTTGCAGAACCTGAGGAACGACTGGACTTCTTTCACTGTAGAGGGTACAGGTCAATCATGAATACCATCAGTTTTAGCGATGTCCATAGCAATGCAACCTGGACAGATGATCATACCCAAATATTCCACTTCTTGTGCATCAAAGGTGCATTTCTCTGGTTTCAAAAATAGGTGTTCTGCACGGATTCTTTCCAAGATGCGATGGGTATGAGCATGGTGGGCAATGAGGTCATTGGAAAAGATCAGGATATCGTCCATGTAAATGACTAACCAACCCTTGTTAATCTCCTGCTGGAATGTCCAATTCATGTACACTTGGAAGGTAGCAGGTGAGCTGCAGAGACTGAAAAACATGATGTTGGGCTCAAAGAGACCATATTCTGTGGTGAAGGTGGCTTTCCAATGATTGTCTGGATGAATCTGGATGTTATTGTAACTGGAATGGACATCCATCTTTGTGAAATATTTAGTACTGTGTAACCAAGTGACCAATGAGAGTGGGAGCAGGAGGGGATAGGTGTTCTTGACTGTCCAGTCATCAATGTACCAGTAATCTTGACAGGGATAAAGGTTGCCACTTTTCTTTCCTACAAAGAAGAATCCACTGGCTTGTGGCAACTTCAATTCAGAGATAAAACCCTTCTTTATGTTCTCATCAATGAACACCTTGATGGTGGTATGCTCAGCTTCAGACAACAGGTAGACTTTTGATGTTTTCGGAACAAAACCAGGTTTAGTTTCAATGTGATAGTTGATACCAGAACCTTCTTGCAGTGACTGATTAAGGCCATCCTTGGCAAAGATGTCAGCAAAGTCATGAAGATAGGAAGTAATGACTTCTTCTGTTCAAGCCCAGCTGCTAACACAAACTGCTGGGCTTTGTTGCTGGTTTTGACATATTCAGTAGGTCGTGACAGGGGTATGACCATGGGTTTCTGTTCTGCAAGACTAGTACCATCCTTGGTTAATGGGGTGTCCATTGAAACATTAGTGATAACCCGGAGCTTGGTAGCGTCAATGGAGTATTCAAACAAAAAGTCATTGTTGTCAAGAAGATAAGTGGCAAGTTCATGTACTGGCAGTGCATAGTCCTGGGTCCAAACATTGTCTTTGGTGTCAAAGGAGTCATTGTCATCATCAGGGATGGGGTCAAGGTTGGGTAATACTAGGGGTGCTTCTTCATCTGTGATTTCTTCAATGGTCACACAAGGGAGTGATTCTGGAGGTGCCTTCAGCTGCTCTCTGATTGGGGTGGACTGCACAGGAGGCGCCTTCGGCAGCACTACAACTGGCATTTTTCCTTCTTTAAGCAGGAATTCTTCCACATCTTATCAATCAGGGTTTTGACAGGTTTCTGGGAGAGAGGGGGAAGGCCATTCCACCCTTAGCTGTAGTATTTGACCTTGTATTTTGGTAACTACCACTTTTAGCATAGACACTTTCATTGGCAACTGCCATTTCACTCTTTTGACCTATGCTGTGGAACTTACCAGGTCTTTATTTTGGTGTGATGTTTTGGCTTTCACAGCTGCTTTTTGGGATTTTTGAAACTCAGCTGTTTTTTCAATCCAGAATACATTCCACATTTGGTGAAAGATGTATTCATATGTTATGACTGCAATTTTGGCTTCCTAAAGCGGAAATTCACAAAATACACCCTATTTTGGTCACCTACTCATATCAGGCCTCCTCACATTATTCCCACACTCCACATGTTCGCATTTTTCAGCTACAGTGTGGGAATTACCCCACAACACCAAAAAAATATTGCCCAATATGGCATCCCCCACAATTACAATTATCCCCACACCCTCCCTACCTCACTACAGCTTCACCACCACACCATAATAGCTCCCTCTTTATATATAAGTAGTAGTTTAGTATATATATGTATAATATAATATAATAGACCACTTTTTTTGTCTATTTGTGTGACTGCTCCTCCTACATGGCCCTTTCAAAATTGCTTAGGGTACAGAACATGTTCGCACTTTTGCCCCTTTGACAGGGAAGTTTTCTAGGGTATTTAGAACATGTTTTAGAGTATATATGAAGAGACCCCCACCTTTATTTGACCCCCTGAAGCATCCTACATAAATAGATATAACATACAGTGGCTCAAAAAACTGTCTGCATGTTTTGACATTTTTCACTATCTATGATATTGTGTGAGAACAAACAAATGGCTCAAGGACATGCTTATACCACATTGTAGTATGGCTTCAGGGCTTTCATTTGAACCCTACACCGTGGGAATCGGTGGAGATATGGTGGAGACATAAGGCTTATAAAATGATGACTCATGTGGACAGTTTTTTGAGTGTATATTAAAACTATACAAATCATTATTTATGACACCACAAAAATCATGCCACTATTATATAAATTATGAAGTGGTGTCATTATGTTATTTTATGACTATATCTAACTATATAAACCAGAATATCTCATGTATCATAGTCATAATCACCATGAAAGCCATCTCCTCTGCTCAAAGAGATAATATCCTCTCTCTGTCTTATGCTGGCTTCTCTGCTTGCCAAATTTCCTCTAGAACTGGAGTATACAAGTCCACTGTGGCCAAGTTTATCAAAGAAAGCCACCCAGACAAGGAAAACTCTTGTGGAGGACATCCATCCAAGCTTACCTCTACTGACAAAAGGGCTATTATCCAACATATCACTACAGGAAAGGCTGATAATGCTGTCCAAGCCACCCATTATATCAATTCCACCATCACTACCCCTGTCTCTTCACAAACTGTGAGGAATGTTCTCAAGGCAGCTCATCTCAAGGCAGTAACAAAGAAGAAAAAGCCTCTTCTCTCCATCAAACATAGGCAGAGAAGACTAGCCTTTGCCTTAGCTCATCAACACTGGACTGTAGAGGACCGGAAGCATGTTATATGGTCAGATGAGACCAAAATCAATAGGATTGGGTCAGATAGGAAGGTATATGTATGGAAAAAGAAGGGAGATGGCCTAACAGACAGAGAGGTTAATGGGACTGTCAAGTTTGGAGGAGGTTCTTTAATGGTATGGGGTTGTATGGGATGGAATGGTGTGGGAATGCTTGCTGAGGTTGAGGGGAAGATGAATGCTGAGCAGTATGTGGACATTTTAAATGACCACTTGCTGCCTAGCTTGGCAGAATCAGGGATTGATGAAGAAGATATCATTTTCCAACAGGATAATGATCCCAAGCACACATCCAGAAGAGCTAAGGAATGGTTTGAAGAACATAACATCAATGTTCTTGACTGGCCAGCACAGTCTCCTGATGTCAATGTCATTAAACATCTCTGGGGAACACTCAAGAAAAAGGTTCAAGCCTATGAAAACCCCCCTAAAGGAGTATGGGAGCTTTGGGAGAGAGTAGCAGTGGAATGGGGGAAGATCACAGCTGAGGATTACCAGAAATTAATTGAGAGTATGCCTAGAAGGATAGAGGCAGTAATTAAAGCCAAGGGAGGTCATACAAAATACTAGAATACCTGGTTATTATTGTAAAATACTTGAGTCAAAAAACTGTCCGTATGAGTCACCATTTTGTGAGCCTTGTATCTCCACCATATCTCCACCGATTCCCAAGGTGTAGCGCTCAAATGAAAGCCCTGAAGCCATACTACAATGTGGTATAACCATGTCCTTGAGCCATTTGTGAGTTCTCACACAATATCAAAGATAGTGAAAAATGTCAAAACATGTGGACAGTTTTTTGAGCCACTGTACATTGTGCATTGCACCTGTTCATGCACACATATTATTCTCCAACTTGACACCACCTTCAACTTCACTTTTTGGCAGTGCTTTCCTGACAGCGCAACTGCCACATTCCCTCAACTGGGTAAGCGCTACACTGCTGTACAGGAGCTTGCCTCTAACTTATACATTTCTAGGTAGAGCTCATCGTGACCTCATACCCCTTCAATCCCACCCTTGTTCCCTTCCCGAAGCAGTATTATAACCACATGTACCAGACACCTGGCTGGTTTGCAGAAAATGTGTTCTACTACGATTCTTTCGAGGTTCATATGCTCTGCATTTGCATCACATCATACTGGGAAGCTAACTGTGATACAACTGAAAGTGTGATGGCACTTCCTACTTCAAGGGTGAACATGCCGTCATGTCAACCAACACCAGTGATGGATGCCTTCCCCAACTCCCTCGAGCTAATCATCCCATCTGGTGCCTCTGGTCAAGTCAGATTCGGCAATGAGGGCTATTAGGGTATGTCCAACTGACCTTGGGGTTTTATACACTGAGTTCACTACCTTCCCTCCAGGCATAAATGTCAACTCCTCTTTCTACTACAAATTCCCCAGTGCATCCAACTTTTCTGGAAAGCTCACTGTCATGCTTCAGTCTTCTACTGGTGCAGTCTATGCAAGCGCTTCTGTCCCTGTCTCTGGCTCCACCACAACCTGGACACAGGTCGTGGTGCCTCTTACACCTGCCTCAAGTTCTGCATCAACTGCTAACAACTTCACAGTCACGGTCAATGGTCCCAGCACTATCGGAGAGACAATCAACTTCACAATGTTCTCCCTCTTCCCTCTGATGTCCAAGGGCAGAGCCAATGGCCTGCGCATGGATGTTGCCCTCTGTGGAAAAGGCAATGTCTGGGATGCAAGGGTAGCATTTGACGTTGCATCCATGTTCATGAACCAAGATTCAGACACCATTCATTTTCTTCTCTTGATCAAGGTGGGTTAAGTTCATCTCACATGCTCTCTGCTCCATTCTGTATTTCAGGCAATCTCCCTCTTCAATGTGGACCAACATGATGAGGCAATGCTGCTCATCAAAGAGCTAACTGTTGCTTGTCCAAATTCTGACCTTCTCATGTGTCATGTCATAGAAGTAAGTATTGTGTGGCTATACTCAGTTATCAACACTGAATTTTGCAACTCACATATTAGGCATATCTATGTGTTCAGCTTGGAACTGAGGCCTTGGATGGTGCATGTCATGATGAAGCTGCTGACCACTTCACTGCTGCCATCAACTCCAGCACTTTCCCATCGACAATCATCCATGAACTATACGAGGACTTGATTATGGTACGTTGACATGATGCATTTGAAAATTCTTTCATAACTGAGTGCTTCATCCAGTTCTTTGGCTGGGATCTCAAATCCTTCTGGCTCAATACACACTAGAAACATGACTCAATGTCAGCATGCATGAGCTGCTGAACATGACCCAGCTTATATCTGTGATGAGACCTTGAACATATGGTGATGTATTGAAACACGGTATGCAGGCATATTGAGACTAGTGAAATGGATGCACCATTCATGGTCCCTTCTAACCTCTACAACTCTGTACCGGAAATAAAGGGCAGCAGGAAATGTCAAGTTCCTCCTGGGAGGGAAGGCATTGCAGGCCCATGAGTGCTGTAAAGCTGGTAAGCATAACATGCAGCCAAAGTATAAGCCTGGGGGTGTAGTATATCTGTTGAATGCAAATTAGCTTGTGGGAACCACAGTCTCCTGGACATCATCCAATCTGAAGTAAGCAGTTTCATGACTGCATCATAAGCCTGGTCGATAAGTCCCTTGTAGTTGCTTAACCAAGCGGCCCTGGTGTCCCAGTTCATTATCAACACTACTATACTCCAGCACTCAATGACATGGTCAAGATTGTCCCAGATCATGAAGAACTGCCTGTAGTGAAGGTATTCTGTGGCTTGTTCCTCAAGCTGGTTAATGGAGGCGAGTTCATGTGGAAGCATCTCCACAAGGTTCTTTGCAAGCAAAACCCTCCCTGGCAATGTGCCTACAGAAGGCACCATCTGATAGGAAGAAGGAAGTCAAGATGTCATTAAAAGCTAGACACAGAGAGGATTCTCATGGAGCATGTCCCTGACTCGGACTCATGATGGTCTTGTAAAGGATATGCTGCAATTATGAATGTAATGACAGACTGCAAGTGTAACAGTGTATGCTTGTACTGAGAGTCGTATAGCAACATGATTAGGAAGTGTTAAAGTACGCAGGTCCTTTGGCTGAGAGAGGGCACAAGGTCAAATGAGCCCATAGATCAAATGGAGTGACAATATCATCATCCTTGGGAATTTCTCCAGCTAGTGCTGCCATGAGAGTGCTAGTGACTGGAACACAAACTTGATAAGTACTGAAACTGAACAGGAAGGAGAGGCTAGATTATGATGTTCAGCCAATTTTTACCATGATGAAAGGATTAGACGACAAACCTCCCAGCTGTCATCAGCTCTGGCAGGCTTGACATATGTATGTCGCACAGGCAGGTTCTTCACAAAACAGAACTAGCAACACAATGGTCAGTATTAATATGATACTTATACATGGGTCAAAAGGGAGTTGGGATGTACAATAATTTTCTGCATGGGGTCAGTGGGAAGGCAGCAATTTCCAGATACAGAGAGTAACAATTGCACAGCCCTGAAGGTCGGGCTACCTTCCTGGCTGTTCCTCTCAGACTCAGGGACACAGTCTGAAATCAAAGGATGATTAGGATGTCCTTTGCCTTGCAGGTAATGAGTAAGACACAGGATGAAGGCATTCTCAGTGGCCGAGTCAACAACATCAACCTCAGTACCATCAGGCCACCTGACAAGGGCAACCTCAAATTCCAGCCACTCTATGACCTGGCTAGGTGAGGTGATGCACTGATCATACAATAGGCATAGCAAATCCTTCACAGAAGGTTTCAAGGTCTATTATTTTGACATGTCAGCATTATGTGAGCCAAATGGTTGACTACTCACATCACAAAATGATACTGCATCATTGCTGAAGGCAATGTCAAATCCTTGACAAAAGTAGTACACCTCCTTCAACATGTCCAGTGCAGCTCTGGGAGGGCAGCCAAGGAGCATGTTGGCGTAGACTTGTCCAATAAGTTCCATGCACTGCTCAACTGACATGTTGGCAGGCAGCTGTGTTGGCTGTAGTGCTGTCAGCTGCTAACAATAAACAAATCAAAGCAACACATACTTGAATATTAGAGTAAGTCACAAGCAGTAGAGAAAGAGGGCCAGTAAGAGAGTAGTCCAGTGGCTGTGCTGGATTGAGAGGGAGGGCAGCAAGGGATGCTGCAGTATTGGGAGCAAGTTTCTGAATGAAGGCAGGATCAATGAAGGCATTAAATCCCCAGATGGCATAACATAATAAGAAAGGAGAGCATGGCATGGGTGGCAGATGAAGGCGGAAGATATAAAGAGCACATAATGTTCTGTGCATTTTGAAACAAATGAGCCTTCCGCTGTTGGAGGCAAATGGAATGATTGAAGGGCATCAGAATCCTTCATTGTTGGTGACCTGCCACATGTAATGTTCATTGAGAACAATTTTGATTACCCTAGAAATCACTGCACATTCCACACCTAGACCAATTCCTTCCCCGCTGGGAGCACTGGTAAGCATAGCAGACAATGCAAGGAATTTAATACATACACTTTGAATATGCAGTTGGCCATGAAGAGGCTGGACAGGTTCATATCCAAACCATCATTCCCAGGTGTAAATCCTATCTGTGCACCTTTGAACATCTCTCCAGATAGGTCAACAATGGTGTGGCTGTGCTTGGCTTCAATGAATGCAATCAGTGCCAGGGCACCCAGCTCAACGTTCAGTGCCCTGACTCTCCATGGAATTATGGTGGAAGTCTCTCTGGGTCCATGCACTTGTACGTAGTTTGCCCAATCTACAATAGAGCTGAATACAGGAGTATTGTTATTGGTGAGATCAATGATCACAGCTGAAGCATGAGTGCTGGGAAGTGGTGCACAATTTGGCAGACTGGTGGGCCATCAAGTGAGTGACCTAGTCATATATATCAATGACCCTTCTGATAATGATGGGTGAATAGTACTAGATGGCGCACACATAGTAGATAATGGAGCATGAGATGGTGCTTCATGGCAAACTGATGTAGGTCTGGAATGAAAAGTATGGGTCACAATGGGGGTCTGAGTTGGGACAGCTGACTGAGCTGAAGAGGGCGATGGAGCACTCTGCTTGTGATTATTAGACTGGAATAAAGCCAAAGGAATGAACTACTCACGTTTTGATGCACAATCAGCTCCAAAATATTCATAGATAGCTAGAATGTAATTGAGTGAGCATGAAAAACAACATTGAGGACCAAACAAGCATACACTATCATCATCAGAGTCCAAGAGATCATTAAACTATGATGGACACAAAGATAAACATCTCAGCTCTTGTGATGGCTCAGGAATGGCCTCGGTGAAAAACATGTCCATGACATGCGCAGCAAAACAGGGGTGGACAGCAGTACCAGCTGCCTGTGGTTCTGACACAATGTTCCCTCTCAGCATCCCAAACCTCAGTGCTAATATTTAAGTAGGATCAAGTTAGAATGAGCACCTGTCAAAGAGTGAGTCAATCATACCAATGAAAAGGAGTGGTATATCATCGATTGGGTTTTTCATGGTCATGGCAATTTTGCACAGCAACACTGAGAGTGCACTGCCCGTGATATCCCTGGAGGTGAACAAGGCCATCTTCAAGAGCTGGGTATTTTGGTTGGCACTAAGCTTCCCAAGCTTGAGTATGACCCAATTGAGTTTCTCATATTCAAGAGATCCACTAGTGGGCTGGTGGTCCCCATAAAGTGATGAAGGAAAGCAGATGTTGTGACATGAGAAGTGGGTGTTGATCTGTGAGTCAAGTTGATCGAGAATCACAGAGTCGCCAACTGTCACTGTCATCTCAATGACAAGATGGTGAGAGTCTAGCCGCCAATAAAGATCAGGAAGCTTTTGTCAACTGAGCTTGAGGCTAGATGGCAGGGGTTCTTTGGAGTCTATTATAAGTGTGCCTCACGCACAGATCTGGAACAAGAGTCATAAGCTATGGGAATGAATCAGTGAGGGGGACATGATACTCACTGGGTATGGTATCAATACAACCTTGAAGGTGATACTATCACATGCAGTGTGAACATTTTAAGAATGCCAGCTTGATTGTAAGAAAGGCCCCAAAGGCCGGCAACAAGAAGTGGTATTTCCCAAATGGCAGGTGTTTGCAACAGTGGTCGTAGTAGCTACAAAAGGGCCACCATTTGATGTAATGCCTGTGTGACAGGGTGCATGACCATGGTATGATGCCACTCGGCGGTCATTTGCTGATCCCGCTATAGGAGCAGGTGGTGGAGCCCAAGCTTTGGCAGGAATTTGATCTGCAGAGCTCCCAACAGGGTAAGGAGTGGTATTGACTGCACAACATCTATGGAGTTGACAAATTGGTATTAGATGGGAGAAATACAGGGAAAGACAGACTGAGTGCTAGGTGGTGCTCACAAGTTGGCATGTGCAAGCCACCCTTTACCACACACACAAATGCTATGCACATTGATGATCAAGGCTTGATTCTATGCCGAACATGAGGAAATCTTCGTGGGAATCAACAAAACTCACATTGGTCTGAAATTGCAGGCAGTTAGATGTCATACAGCCCCCTTTCAGGGGGAGATTAGTTGCTGGTGGTACAGGAGGACCTTCACTCATATCATGGTCCAAATATGGATGGGAACAGTAACATAGAGGATTTATTGCATTCTTCAATAAATCAGCAGTTAGCATGGAGTCAATTTCAGATTTAAGAGGACCTGCCTGGAAATCTTGAGGAGTAAATTCAGCGCAAGAGTCATTGGCATTTGTGCAAGATCAGCATGAAAAACAAGCCGGAAGAGAGGCCATTATTAGTGTCAAAAGTGATTGAGAGTGAAAGGAGGCTGCCATGAGCGATGCTATGAGTGAAATGAGGCTGCTATGAGTGAAATGAGGCTGCTATGAGTGTAATGAGACTGCTATGAGTGAAATAAGGCTGCAATGAGCGAAATGAGGCTGCAATGAGTGAAATAAGACTGCTACAGTGAGTGAAATAAGACTGCTATGAGCATAAGGTAACACGGGAGAAAACACAGTACAGTGGCTCAAAAAACTGTCCGCATGTTTTGACATTTTTCACTATCTATGATATTGTGTGAGTACGAACAAATGGCTCAAGGATATGCTTATACCACATTGTAGTATGGCTTCAGGGCTTTCATTTGAGCCCTACACCGTGGGAATCGGTGGAGATATGGTGGAGATACAAGGCTCACAAAATGGTGACTCATGTGGACAGTTTTTTGAGCACATATTAAAACTATATAAATCATCATTTATGACACCATAACAATCATGCCACCATTAAATAAATTATAAAGTGGTGTCATTATGTCATTTTAAAACCATATCTAACTATACAAACCAAAAATTTCCATATGTCATGGTTATATTCACCATGAAAGCCACCCCCCCTGCTTAAAGGGACAATATCCTCTCTCTTTCCTATTCTGGCCTCTCTGCTTGTCAAATTTCCTCTAGCACTGGAGTATGCAAGTCCACTGTGGCCAAGTTCATCAAAGAAAGTCACACAGACAAGGAAAACTTCTGTGAAGGGTGTCCATCCAAGCTCACCTCTACTGATAGGAGGGCTATTATTCAACATATCACTACAGGAAAGGCTGATAATGCTGTCCAGGTCACCTATTATGTCAATTCCACCATCACATTCCCTGTCTCTTCACACACTGTGAGAAACATTCTCAAGACAGCTCATCTCAGGTCAGTAACAGGGAAGAAAAGGCTCTCCTCTCTATCACACATATGCAGAGAGGACTAGCACCCTTCTTTTTTCACATATATACCTTGCCATCTGACCCAATCCTATTTATTGTGGTCTTATATGATCATATAACATGCTTCCAGTCCATGTAATCCAATTCTGATGGGCTAAGGCAAAGGTTAGTCATCTCTGTTTATGTGTGATAGAGAGGAGAGCCTTTTCTTCCCTGTTACTGACCTGAGATGAGCTGTCTTGAGAATGTTTCTCACAGTGTGTGAAGAGACAGGGAATGTGATGGTGGAATTGACATAATAGGTGACCTGGACAGCATTATCAGCCTTTCCTGTAGTGATATGTTGAATAATAGCCCTCCTATCAGTAGAGGTGAGCTTGGATGGACACCCTTCACAGAAGTTTTCCTTGTCTGTGTGACTTTCTTTGATGAACTTGGCCACAGTGGACTTGCATACTCCAGTGCTAGAGGAAATTTGACAAGCAGAGAGGCCAGAATAGGAAAGAGAGAGGATATTGTCCCTTTAAGCAGGGGGGGTGGCTTTCATGGTGAATATAACCATGACATATGGAAATTTTTGGTTTGTATAGTTAGATATGGTTTTAAAATGACATAATGACACCACTTTATAATTTATTTAATGGTGGCATGATTGTTATGGTGTCATAAATGATGATTTATATAGTTTTAATATGTGCTCAAAAAACTGTCCACATGAGTCACCATTTTGTGAGCCTTGTACCTCCACCATATCTCCTCTGATTCTCACGATGTGGTGCTCAATCCAAAGCCCTGAAGCAGCACTACAATATTGTATCAGCATGTCACTGAGGTCTTTATGTATTCTCACACAATATTGTAAATAGTAAAAAAATGCAAAAACATGTGGACAGTTTTTTGAGCCACTGTATGAATGCTGGAAGAGGGAGAGAGAGAAACAGACAGAAAAAAACAGATGACAGATATCACAGAACAGGGCATCATCCATAGTATGTCCCATGTCAATGTTATAGTATCCATGACATAAAAAAATAAAATAATAAAAGCAGCTGCTGATGGTGAAGTGATAGAAGTTTAGCAACATACCTTCAAATCATGCAGGCTGCTGCAACATCAGTTCAGAACACTCATGGCTAATGAACTGCAAATGTGTTCCCCACTGTCTAGAGCACAAGGGAAATTCCAAGGAATAATTGCACCCTGTGAGTTCATTGCACATAAGCTTCTTTTTGTCAGGCATCCTTGAATCTCATGCTAATTTGTAGTGCAAAAAACTGCTACATCAATGTGATCTACTGATCTATCAGGCTCATGGCAAGCTGTAATTGTACATGTGTCCACTGAAGTTCCAGAGCTCTTTCACCAACAGGTTTAGCTAGATGAGCAGTTGGAGAAATGACAAAGTTATCAAGTGACAGCTTCAGAGATGCCTCTCTGGCGGTAAGAGAAAATGCTCTTCCAAACCTCAGACACAATTCCTCTGACCTTTTAATATCCTTCCTATGATTCACAAATGTTCCTTCTTTTGCCCCAGTCCAATGAATGACATCCTTGCACATTATGCCTGCTGAAGTGACCGCTAATTGACTTTGCATATCGAGACCTAGTGCATCACAGACTTTCTGCAGTGTAAGATAATGAGTGTATGCAGTGTATGCAGAGCCGAATCCAGGCTCAGATAGCAGTTGAACCTCATGCTGTTTGGTTGGAAACATGGCACTAAGGGATCTGAAGGGATCCTTGTATTATGAGACTAATCAGTACAAATGTCATAACTAGCACATGGAGATATCACAGATGTATAACAGATTCACAGTCCTGAACATTTCCAGCATTATAGGAAGGGCTCTGTATCATTGCCCACAAAGACGCTATCCACATGGCTTCTCTGAGGGATCCAGTAGTTATCAGTGGTGCATCCTTGATAGAAAAGATGGATCCTGTTGAGCGGTAGTTATTTTGAGTGGCCCTGCAGGGCTTTGAGGCATGTGGGAGCATTGAAATTGAGTTGTGAGGTCTCCAGTGAGTAGTACAGTGCAAGGCATGCATGGAGATTCAATTATTGCAGATGGCAGATTTGACATTCAAATCAAATTCAAATACCCTGAGACAAGTCATGAGTCTGAGATACAAAGTCTAAAGAGGAAGTTGAAGTTGTGAAAGCAAAATTCAAAATCCAAGGTCAAACTAGAATTAGACTCCAACTTTCTCTTGGAGCATCTGCAATGCTGATTCACAATGATTGAGTACTACTGAGTTCTTAGTCAGATTTTTTTGGACAAAATCAAAAGCGTGAATTTTGTCCAATACAGTCCCCCATAGTAGTGTCATGCTCCCAGCAAAAACTCTCTGATCTACCTCACACTTGAGGGTTCTTTTATTCTGCTTTGCTGAATTTGCTTAAGTCTCCATGCAAATATCTTTGTGCTTACATTACATGTCTTTCTCAATGTATCAGTGGCATGCGCATTGGTCATGTGACAAAAACTTGCCCTGCGCAAAAAAGACTGCTGCATGTTTTTCAGAGACACTCACACATCAGAGACTCAGCAATACCTCCAGCATGCAGAAACCAGAACCCCCCAAAAAAACTGTTATATACTTGTCAAACATTTTATATTTGAGCTTGTGTTAGTCAAGGGACAATGCACTCTCAAAACATGATTAGTCAGACCAACACGTGACTTCATGTTTTGAGAGTACATTTGGTCTTCAGCCAAAGAGCACATAGTAAGCATAGGGTGTATTTTGTGAATTTCCACTTTGGGAAGCCAAAATTGCGGTCATAACATATGAATATATCTTTCACCAAATGTGGAATGTATCCTGGATTGAAAAACAGTTGAGTTTCAAAAATCCCAAAAAGTGGCTGTGAAAGCCAAAACATTACACCAAAATAGAGACCTGGTAAGTTCCACAGCATAGGTCAAAAGAGTGAAATGGCAGTTGCCAATGAAAATGTCTATGCTAAAAGTGGCCATTACCCAGTATCATAGGTCAAATACTACAACTATGGCTGGATGCTGAAGAGGGCAGAGTGGATTTAGAGGATGTATTAGTTGAGCTGGTTTAGGACTGATCATTTTCTTTGTTCTGTGTGGTGCAAGATGGATATCTAGGGCAAACATGATTGTGCACTGGTAATAAAAAGCTTCAATGAGAATCAGGGGAACTTGAGAACTTGAAACTTACCATTGTGACCTTCATTATTGCAGGCACCACACTTATTTCTATGCTTCAAGTTGGGAGTGTTGGTTCTTGCAGTGGGACAAGGAGTAGCAAGTACTGGAACATTGCCAGTGGATGGATAACTTAGAGGTGTTGTGACAAAAGGGCTGGCAATGGGTGGTGCATGCCTTTGAATAAGCGTAATGATCTCATTGCCAAACCTATCACTGTCCATCCACCCTGTCTCCTTCTTCAGGTCAAATATGCTGTTGATTTTGTGGTGATGAGCACAGTTGACAATGCGGTCTAGCATGCAATTGGGGAGAACAAGGGAAGGACCAAGATCATTGAGGTGGGACCAGCTATATGTTGAAATAGTTTTCTGCTCATGCCAATCATCAAGGGCATCTTGCAATACAAGGTCAGGCACTTTTTTTGTGTACTTGGAAAGGCATGAATGGTGTGACATAACAGAAGGTTCATCAGCATAAATGGAAAAATGGTCAGGATGGTGAATATCACAGCAAACCATAGGCTGTAATATCAGGCAGCAGGAACAGCCCAAAATGCACTCTGGGTTGCAGTCAAGGTGGTCAAAGTCTGTAAGGGTGTAAGTGCAGTCCAGTTCAATTGAATTCGAAAATTCTCACCAGCCACTTCATTATCAAAGCAGACATCAAATACTTTCCTTCTGCACATCAGTCCTGTACATTGGTCAGCATTGATAAGACAATCCATCCTGAGATCCAACTCTCTCTTCTTGTGTTTTGCAGCTTGGTCATTCACACCAGCCTTGTTTAACTCTTGGTAAGTATTTACCATTGCATCCTTCAACTCCTGTAAACCACTGTTGACACTTCCTGCCATGGAATCTTCATTATCTGCTTGGGGGGCAGAAGCCGATGGGTGGGCACTGTTGGCAGAGGATGCTAAATGGATAACTGCATGACACTTATTATTTTGTGCTGCAAGTGAGTCTGTTGCTTTCCACTTTCAAGCATTGTCATGCTGAGTTTTTTTGACAGCCCTTGCCTCCCACTCTTCTTCAAAATGCTCTTTCTCAGCAAAGAGCAGTGCCATCCCCATCAACTCCTTATTCCTTGTAGCGCACCCAAAGTGTTGCCATAATGTAGCAAGGTGGCAGGTTGCCCGTCATTGGATGATGAGTTCAATATCTGGGACATCCATATCCTTTAAACAGTCTGTAAGTCATGTATTTAATTTAACCCTTTTGTCCCTCACCATTCCAAATGAGTTAGTTGTACAAAACCCCCATGTTTCTCCCAATACAAGATTCTCAAGTTCAGTGTCCTTGTAAGTACTTGACATCTCTGAATTGAACCATTTAATTTTGTTGCTGAACTTGGAAGGGAGATGTTTCCTAAGTGACTGTGTTGCATTAATGGCATCTTGTATGTCATCAAAGAAGATGAGGAATTTCAGGAGAGGTCCATCCTCTCTTTTCTAACCCATTGGAATCAAGAACACTAGGTTATTGTAACTGCTAAGTGCATGTTTGATTTTTCATACCCCAATCTTTATGTTTGGGCAATCTGTTGAACATCAAATAGCAGTCAGCTTGTCAGCATGCATGTGAAGGAGGTGCACTGCATTAGTAAGTGTATATTTAGTAAGTGTTGCAGATGCAATCATGATAGGAATGATGGATGGCAGGATATAATGAAGATGCCCAAGCTCCTTATACTCTGGGCAGAACTCTTCCCAATTAGTAAGACAGTGCACCTCATCAATGACAATGCTGATGATCTGAGCCATGAACAGGTCATTTTTCAACAACTTTTCAAATTCACCATTCAGTTTCATGATTTGCTCAGGGCTAACTGGGACTGCTTGATACTTGAGTGCACAAATAGCCTTTATTATTATCTGGTGAACAAATGACTTTACAGTTTGAAAGTCATACTCACAGCAAAATTCTCAGGTGTTGCAGTCTCACTGCTTATTGAAATGGCTTTTATGCCTGCCTTAGTAAGTGATGTAGCATTCTGTTTGCCAAGCATATTGAGGGGAGTGATGACAATTTGAATACCTTGATGAAATAACAAAGGCATCCAGAACACTAATGTCTTGCCCATTCCTGTCCCCACAGTACAGAGTACATCATGGTCACCCTTTAATAATGCCTCTGCAATCTTTAGTTGCCATAAACAAGGCCTGATTCCAAATTTTCCCTGTGTCACAGATCAGATCTGAGATAAAGAAGGAATCTCCAGACTGAGGGATTGAATAGGAGCCATTGCACCATTAATGGCAAACATGTTGCATGTTTTTCGAACTCCAGCAATATGATTACCAAATATTTTCTAACCCTAGTATCATTCTACACCAATAGATTTCGTTTTCTGCTGTTTCAGCCACTGTGGCTGACAATGTTTACATGTGTTATGTTCCAGCCGCTGCTGAGAGTGAGGGGAATGAGGTTGTGCTGGGTTTGAATTCTTCGCGTGACTTCGGATAGTGCCGCACCCAGCCCTCCACACTCCAACCAGTGGCTGGGAAGGAGCCCTGAGATGGTCACAGCTAAACTAGTTGAAGGTAGTGTCGTAACTCTACAGTACACTTCAACGTTCATTTCATAAATATTATGTCGACATTCGAAAAACCCAGATCGGTAGGTACACAAGACTCTGTAGGACTTGGAAGTGTTCCTCCCGCGGACTACTCTGAGCCCACCTATTCTGTCACGCGATGGATAAAATCTTCGTGGACAAACATAGGTCTTCTATCAGACTATCACGAAGGATTCCACTAACGCTGCACAGGTTGGCAGTGCTTATCGTAAAACCGAATTCCTGAGCGCTATAAAATTTCCCAAAGGCATGTAAGGTGTGTCCGTAACAGGAATTAAAAAGGATTTTGTGCACTAATGTACACACTAGTACTTGGCCGTTCCCTGACCAGCTTTTTGAGCGCCGAGACTTGCCGCGGAATAGCCTGCGGGAACATACCGTTTCTGTTATTGCTTTCCTCCAGATCTGAGAGGGTTCGCTCTTAAACACTGGAAATCCAGGCAAGCCTCGCGCGTGAACGCAGTCCAAGTAGCCTTACGTTTATCCTCAGTCGCACCTCTTTGTCGCACGAATGAGACGTTGTGTGCCGGGGGAAATCCAGTGCCAGTGTTCGTTTCAAGAATTGCGCTAGTCCGGCTTTATCCAGGGTTCGGATTCCTGCGTAGAACGTCTGATGAGTCGGGACTACATAGTTCCCTGAGTTAAACGCACGCTTGACATAACTAGTCTGCTAGGTTCCGCTTCATCCAAGGTGCGTGTTTAGTGTCATAGAAGCAATGCTTGACGCCCCGGTTCTGACACCTAGGTGCTCGACAGACTACTGTCGATCAGTGGGACGCGCTCGCTCATCGAAGACGAAAGAATTCTCACCATCCCCCTTAGCTAATTTCTCTGCAGGCCACGCAGGACTCAGATAACAACTCATTGTGTTGTCACTACTAGTGATCTAGCATCGATCGTATCCGCCAATGACAGGTGAGAGCTTTACGATCTAGCGCTACAATCACTGGCGCAACCCTTTAACAACAAGACAGGCGGCATGATCTAGGCCACATCAAGGTCATATAACTTGCAAGTGCCACGCGTTTGCGTGTACTTGCATAACAGGTCTGGAAATATAATAAATATAATACTTCGATCGTAGCTTTGGATGGAATCCTTGAGTGTTAATTAACGTTAATGATCTTCCATGCGTGTATATGCGCATAACAAGCATGCGCATCGCAATATATCTTCCTCCGTGTCTGATGGAAAACGTGGAATATACCAATCATTGATGCATAAGACCATGGAATGACACAGCCCGTCAGGGTTTTTCGTCACACTTGCTATCAAGACGCTAGGCCTCGCACTCAAATAAGGTCACTATTGGGGCCTCATGGTTGTGGTATTTTTGGGTTGATGACATCGTTAATTTGTCTCTTTAATAGTGGTATATAAGGATGCCTGCTTCGTCTTATACATCCCCTTGTCTGGCATCTATCATTTTGAACTCTTGAGATTTAGATTCACTTCGCAATGGGTGATCTCCCCTCCGTAAGTCGATATCACTTCTACGTTGACGATACACTGATATTATTGGCAGGAGCCAGTTCAATTCAAAATTGAACCATTTCATATTCCTGGGACAAACATCGTAAGAGATGGTAAATTTCCTGACCTGTAGAGGAGGGCTCGGGGACATCTGGAAATGTTCGATGACTACACGGTCTGGAACACAACGCCTTGTAAGTTTAGACATGGATAGAAGATTCGTCATTTATCATAATCAAGGTCGCTGTCAAATCTATCAGGGTCCTTTCAGTAACAGATGCGGCGATATTAATAGTGATAGCCAAGGTTAGGGCGGGGATTGATGTGCAGTTCCAGTCTCTGATGTATCTACTCTCCAGAGAATTCGTCGCGAGACCTATGTTTGGATACAGTTAGAACACGACCACATTCTTCCTCTCGAGGGTGTGACTGTCGCTGAGGAATTCGGGCCACTCCCGGCACTAGTTTCTCCATGGATGGAAGAAGGATCGCTGGACGATTACTTGAAGCGCGGGTTTCCCGGACTGTCTGAGTATGGAAAACGAGGGCTTGTAAGTGCCAAATGGCTACCGCACTAGCTTATACTTAGCCATGATTTCAGATATGGCAGGTAGCTGCTGGTATTAGTTACCGTGCGTTGTTAACAGATGTAGTGATCGCACCAATTACTAATGACCACCCACTAGTGCACAGCAAGGGTATCGTGCACGGTGACTTGACAGCGGTAGGTCTGGTCCCAATCCAAATGTAGTATGTAACTGAATTCAATGATAGACCAACGTTTTGGTTGACAGCTCCGGTTGCCTCCGTCTCGCAGACTTTGGTCTATCGATGATCCTTGCTGAGGCAGGAAACGCCACATTCAACTCCTGTCATCCAGGAAACGTACGCTGGATGCCCCCTGAGGCACTCCGAGCCGGAGCTGAAGACGAAGACGAAGACGAAGCTAAAGACGAAAAGCCAACCAAAGCTTGGGATGTCTACTCATATGGCTGCGTGGCGATGCAGGTCTGTCGAATTGTTAATGCATGACAATAGGAGTCTTACAATAGTTCCAGATCTTCTCGGGAAATCAGCCCTACGCATGGATAAAAAATGCTCTTAAAGTTATGGGCGCGATGCAGGGGGGACGTGTGCCTTTCAAGGACATACAGAGTCATGAGGTGTATCAACAACTCTCACCGTGCTTAAATAAGATACCAGCCAATCGCCCGACAATGGTCGATATCATGAGAGATCTGGGGTTACGATAAACGTCATCATGTAGTGAGATATCATGTCAATAGTGTATACTGTGAGATATTGTTACACGAGTTGGTACTAATATTGGGTCACACCTACTTTATGTAATGGCAGAGGGTAAATGTCAGTGCCGCATGCGTGGAAATTACTTTCCTTATTAGTTGTCGGGTGCCGTATGCAGTGCTACGGTTTGCTGTAGTCATCCTTGGTTGAATGAGTGCGAAAGTAGGTGAGCGTTCTCCCCCGTCATACTACTTACGACTTGATCGACAATAATTATTTATTCACCTTGGACGGTCCTACGGTCCCCGCGTTTTTCGAAAAAAACAAAACGCCCTTCTATCCTCTGTACTACGCAAGTTATCGAGATCCGACTTTTGTGTACCAAGTGTTGTGCGCGCCAAAAGCACTGGATTCTCAGGCTGCTTCTTGTCACTGTACGCCTGCTATGATCGATGGTCCTGTCAGATGCTGTACAGTGAACATAATGTTATGTCCGTTCCATTTTTAGCTGTAGAATGCGCACTGCACAAAGACTGTAGAGGTGCAACTCAATGGGATCTGGTCAGACCAATATATTAATCATCGTAAGTAGGTGTCGGGGAATGGCACGACCGAGCGACGTTACGATTTTGTTATGATCCTTGTGATACTTTCCTATGCAGGTTTAGGCCGGCGATGCAGCAGAACCTGAGTTCTTCGACTGTCAGACAGCTAAAGCGTGTACCTAACAACTTGTTGGCGCGTGCATCCGGAGGTCTTCCATATCATTGAAGGCACAATAAAGGATTTCTACTTTACAATAGCATGTATGAAAGTCGTATGACTCCATGCACGTACAATAGCATTATCATGAGTCACAGGTACCGAGCCAGCGGACATGCGAGCCCATATTATACTTAGACACTATGCTATGCCAATGAGGCAGCTAGAATAAAAAAGACGAGAACGAACCAGTTCCGAACGGTGACATAACGTAGATTTAAGATAATGCCCCGATAGAAATAGCTTTCTGGAGAAAGTCCAGTACCTCTTCCACTGATGGACGATTCTCACTCTCAATTGACCAGCACCGCCGCATGAAATCCAGGTGATGTGCTTGAATTTGCATGGTGTTATTGATGGGCTCTTGGTAATTGAACTTCGATGCCATGACTTGCAGGGCAGTCTTGATCCACCAGTAGGGTAGTTTGCCGTATAATACCTGCGAGTACAGCGTCAGCATTATAAACAAAGGCAAATGAGACACTGACCTGAAGCATGATACACCCAAGAGCATATACATCACTGGATTTTGTGGCACATTGCACGGTTTGACCTTCCTGGAGGACAATGAGCTCTGGAGCTACCCAACGAACCGCGCCAGTTTGGTAGGAGAATGCCGGGTTGGATTCTACCATGATATTCGAAACACCAAAGTCGGCAAGGCGCGGGGAACCATCGGCAGCAACCAAGACATTGTTCTATAATCACAATTAGTGGGTCACAGAATGTCTAGTGTAGGTGAACCTACACTGGTCAGATCCCCGTGAATCACGTTATTGTCGTGGACTGTCCACAGTATTTGGTTAGACCAATCATTTCCAAGCCAATCCGTTACTTACGATATTTGAGCCCCTCGGTGATGTGTTTAAGCTTTGAGAAACAGTAAGCTCCCGTAATCGGCGTCGAAAGAGAAACTTACAATGTGAAGCCTACCCATCGTTGTGAGGTTTTCATTTGTAAGGTAGGAGCTCAATGTCCCGTTCGGCATCCAGGGGGAAACTAATGCTCGAAACGGACCAAAACCTGTTACGGTGCCATGAAGGCATAATACATATCGATGATTTAATCTGGCCCAGACTTTAATTTCGCGGTCAAGATTCTGTGTTCCACAGAAATAAAGTTCAGACACGCGGCAGTTTCAGAGGCTACCCAAACATACACGATTTATTTTGGCAACTTCGGCATCTGTGAGACTTGGGAACCGTGGAGATTTGACTGCAACCTGAGTATAGGTGAGCATGAGTATGGAGAGGATCAATGTGTGGCATACCTCTTCTCGACTCGCGTCTCTGATCAATATGCATTTGTAGACATCTCCAAGTCCACCCGAAGCGATCGGAAAATTGGCTTGCCTGGTGGCAATGCGACTTGTGTCTATAACAAACGAACCATACATTGCTGTCTGAATCGGTTGCGATCTGAATTAAAGAAACAAGCTTGCGAGTCATCTTCCTCAGAGCTGGGATAGCGTCCGCTTTGCCCGTTTTCGGAGGTATAGACAAGGGAGGTCTGGCTTAAGGACGGTCGCTCATCAGAAGAAGACTGAGCAACGTCAGATGTGGAGAGTGAGCTGGGTCGACGAAGGTAAAGAGAGACTCGATGTGCAAGAGTCTTCACATGCTTCACAGGAGCCAGCATATCGATTGGAGAAGCACAGACACAAAAGGATACAGTTGTACTTTCCTAGCAACAGTAGTTTGCCGTCTTATACACAAGAGCTACAGTGGTTCCCGTTGACATCGCGAAGTAGACCTATAGCTCCGGGGAGTAGAAATTGCAGAGGGCGCACCAGCCTCCAGGATAGCTGCAACTGGCACGGATCGAATGAAATCCACGCTGAATACTGACCTGCCACCATATAAACGCTCATTTCTAAATGCGTCAAGTGGAGAAAGGCAGACGACGAGTTTATCAGACTTCCTGAGGCGTGTCCAGGGATGTGGAGCTATCAATTGAAACTTTAGCCCAAACTACGCCATTGCGCAAGGTATCGGCCTTGGTAACAGCCCCGTGGTTAAACGTGAACCTTGATAACCAATTCTATGTTAGCAAATGCTGCCTGTCATCTGACCTCGAGCGCTGAGAAATATGCGCTCATCCTAAAATGAATGGTTCTACCTCCTCTATGATAATAACTCGAGGCGGCGCTATATGACTCGTGTTGTTCTGTCCACCGTAACTCCACTGTTTAGATCACCCATATGCGATAAAGCGAACTTACATCTTGATCATCGATCAATCATATCGAGCTGGTCGGACAGTCCCTTCACGGTCCATCATCCACGGAAACTTGAGTGATGTGCGTGCGTATCTAAGCATAGAGTCCATGAGTTCCTAATTAGAATGCTGTTCTGTTGACGAAAATACAAAAAAAAACTTAACCTCGCCGATTGTAGATTCTTTGTTAGTAATTCAAGCCTCGAGGCACGGCACCTGGATGCGAAGGATAGCATTGCCTGGGGTCTGATGATCAGTGTTAGCGGTATTCCCCCCCAGAAGTCTAATCTCGGAAGGACCATACTTCAGTAATTATCAATACCAAGACACTCATCTCCCTGCAGGCCTCAAGGACAAAGTCCCATGGTTAAATAGACACAGAACAGCGGCCGAACTAAGCCCACATAACTGAGGTAACTGTGATTTCGCTCAAAGTTTAGAGGTGATGGTCAGCAAACATGAAACGTCTGTCAGGTGAAGAAGAAATCATTGCATTTATGAAAGGACGAGTAATCAATATTAGTGTTGGACCAAATCAATCTGCAAATGCCCATCGCGCGTGAATAGACATTAACCCGAAGTTATTGAGGGCATTGGTTTGATCACTTACTATTGGGTACCGTAGGTCTAACAGATGCAGATCATGTGGGAGAAGTATAGCGTGGCGCGATACACGTTATACAGCAACATCATCCAATCGAGTCATATTCAACACCCCCTTACCAAATCCACTCGCAACCACTTTAAACCCATTTTCTTGCACATCCGCGAGGAATAGCTCGTGTTGATCTGCCATCCTCTCATTATTCCTCCGAATCTCCTGGATGACCCCATGTTGACGTACGCAAAGCGGGCATTCGGTCTCGTGGTCCAGCAAGCACCTATATTAAATGCACATTAGCACTGACATCACGAGATAGCCAGACGAGAAGGTGTGATTCCACGAAAAGTAATAGATTGGTTCAAATAATGAATACGTACCGTTGGTGATATGAGTGGTTGCACATGAAATGGACACTGGGCAGGTCGAGCTGCCCGCTGCACTGAGAACAGCGCGTCACACTGAATACTTTTGCATGCATCGGGTCCTCTAGTTCAGCCACTTGCTTCAACTTCGCATCCGTTTCCAGCCGGTATGAATTGATCAGTTGCTGGTCCTGTCGCAAAAAATCATCAGCGCGAAAATGAGAAGGAAATATAAAGAAATCACAGTCTGCACTTCTTCCCTTGCCTCCTTGATGCGTCCCATCAGCCAGTCCTTGACAAGTCCTACGCTCGCTACTCCATTCCTACTCAGTATCTGGACTACACCCAGCGGAGGTATTGTCCGCTCCTTCTCGATATGTTCCAGAATCTTCTCCACATCTGCCTGGTGCCGCGTGAGCAGCTCCGGTGTGCTTGTCAAGAAGCGCAGCACCAGCTCATAGAGGTGCGGATGCGTTGGACCATATCGTACAAGGGCCTGTACGACTTCTGTTGACGCAGATGACTCGGATGGCGATGTGTTGTGCTTATCCATCCAAAACCGTAAAACGTCTTCATACATCCCCAGCTTTTCCCAGAGTATAACCAGACCTCGGGTATAGCTGTAGCTGCTGCAAAGAATCAGTGCATGTGTCTTATCGCATGGTAAGGAGTCGCTCGTCAGAACTTTGAGTGCTTTGTCCTGTTGTTCTGGGGAGCCCCCGTCAAGGTAGAGTTCAAGCAACGTGTTCCAAACTGCTGCCTGATTGCGCTTCTCCGAGTCTTCGTCATCGTCCGAACTGGCATTTGGAAGAGAGGATGGGAGAGAGGAGAGCGACTGTCCCCACCGACGTGCAGCTACGCTTTCTAGGAAACGGACAAAATATGACGGGTGATCGACAAAATGCGCAAAATAGAGTGTAGGCGAAGGCCGTTTCTCTTGAGACGGTGTTGGTGCGCCGGGCTGCGTTGCTTGAGCCTCCGTAAGGTCCTCCTCTTCGTCCGCTTTGAATTCCTCAACTTTGTCTTCGGGCGCGGGTGCACGGGAGAGGGCAAGGTACGAGAGGTACGATGGGGCGTTTGCTGGTGTGCTCGACTGTTGTGGAGTGGTGTCCTCTGCCTCGGGTATGGTGAGGGGACCAGAAACGGTGCAAAGATCAATGAGAAGCTGCGTCGTCTCCTCTGGGAGATTATCTAGCATAGCGCGTCCGTACCTTGCGAGGTTACTTTCCGCCTGTATAGATATATTAGCCTCACAGGAAAAACATCCAAACAGAAAAAAAAGAGGATTGAACTTACCGCGGCTGCTCCCAAGTGTCTCAAATACGTCAATGCCTCCCCGTACTTCCCAGCATCCTCGATCATAACCCTTAGATACTCCTCATGCCGTTTGTAGCGCTTTGCAAGGTAGCTGGCATGATCAAAGTACCCTGCCTGCCTGCACACCCGGATAGCAGTGTCCAGGTCAAATGGAAGGTCGCCGTTCGACTCAGCCGCACCAGAGCGTCGAGACTCTGTTTTAATGAAGTTGTCCAAGCGTGCAACATCTTTGAGTTTGGTGTAGGTATTAAGCAGAAGAGTAGTATGGTCAGCGTTTGCAAGGCCAAGAGCATGTAGCTCTTGCAGATAGGTAACAAGATTGTGTATACGCTGAGCGTCCAAGAACTGTACCCCGATTGTTAGACCTGTCGCGTTGAAAAAAAACGAATAACTGACTTTTCTAACGACATAGCTCGGTTTCACCCACCCTATCGTCTTCAGGTAGCACGTCATCGCGCCATCCCAATCTCCTTTTGTGTAGAGGTAGTCACCGTGCTGGCGGTGAATATCAGCTACGTAGCTCTCGTCGAGATGTTGGGTCTGCGCAAGACTCAGTGCAAGTGGGTATAGAGCCTTTGCGTACAGCATGGAGAGTTTTGCAGAGGTGGATTTCTCGGCAAGGCGAGTCAGCTAAACAAGGGCAGCGACGTCAGATTAACAAGCAATGCATAATTCCGAACATTGTTGGGACGCACCTGCCCATTATTTGTGAGGATGTAAATATTTCCCCACTCCGAGATCACCTCTCTGATGCCCTCCGGAAACATCCCGGTATATCCAACTACCTTATTCTCCATGTCAAACACAGTCACCCTCGACGCATCACCATCTCCACCTGTCGCTGGTGCTGCAAGCTTTCGCGTCGTTGCAACTGTTGTGGGTGGTGAAACAACTATCACATAGTTAAGGTGGGTGTGGATCGACGACTTGCAGCCTGTGAAAGACGTAACATCACCTCCCAGTACCTAGATTCGTACCAATGCACCTACCTTCATAAGCATATGGCGGCTCCCTCCCCTGTAAACCATACGCATATACTGCCTCGTCTCTCGCAAGCACAATCTTCTCGGCGCGCCAATCCATCACCGCACATCCCAGTCCACATCCAATATCATCCAGCAACACGCTAGATCCTCCACTCCCTTTTCCGGACACATGGTAAAAGTATACCGAGTTCGTAGTCACGATGAAAAGATGCAAGTTGTTATCCTTAGCATCGGCATTAGTGGGACTCGGAAGTTCTCGGAAACCGAGGCCTGTGATAGGTTCAGGGGATGATTCATGGATAGTGCGTGTCTTAGGGAGTGTAGTCAGGGACGCTGCGGGAGATAGTGACTGATCCAAGTGCCTGTAAAGTAGCACCGTCCCGTCGGCCAATCCGATGGCAAGGAAAGATAACGCTGAGGAAAGTGCAAAGCAAGAGACCTGAATTACAAGCTCACCAAACGAAAGCAGAAGGTAGTGAGCCACTCACCGGATGAGGCTTATTGCTAGGCTGGATCTTGAAGATCTCAACAACACTGGCGCTTGGTTTCTCTTGTCCGTCTTCCCAAGATCCCAAATATTCAGCAAACTACCCCGCACTGCATTCTCCTCCCCAATTGTCACTAACACACCCTTCCTCTCTGCCATGTGTATCACTCGTCCTCCCACATGTGCGACCCAACTCGTTGTCGATACGAACTCCTTGTTTAGAATGTGTACACTGCCGTGAATATCCGCAGCGAGCAACCCAGCACTGGAGGAGACGACAGTTGAAATTTCTGAAGCGTTTTTGAAAATCTCGGGTGAGCTAGCAAGGTCATGGGCGTCCTTCACAGGATGAACATCGAAAAACGCAAATTGGCGAAGCTGAAGGGGTCTAGTAACTGAGGGCAACTACGACATCTGACATTGGCCAACATACCGCAGTAGCAGCTACAACAGTCGTATTTGCCATCGGGCTTACTACGAAATTGGTTGTTGCAGCCTGTGAAGGGATATTGAAACAGCGCTGAAGTTTGAAACCTGTCCTGCTTTGAGTAATACTGTGAGTGCTGAAGCGCTGAAATGATGTATTGTAGTCAGGAACAACTTTAGCTAGGCCTCTGACGGTAGCATTATGACTATGTACACTAGTGGTAGGACTAAATACTAATGTGCGTCACCCAAGGTGTGTTACGGTGTAGCATAATATCATATGTCTACTACTCTGCATTCAAGCCTATCGGGAAAACTGTAGATATGTTGACATGATAATCCCAAGCCTGGGAGCGGCAGGAGTGAGTTGTCAAGAGAGATATAAGGCATGATATCTGAGATTTCGTGAACATCATATCGTACAGAACGTAAGACGGAGAATACAACATACAAAATTGCCATGTCACGGCATCACGAGTCGCATGGGAGAGCCAGGAGCTTTCCTATGGCACTTTCAGTTGTCCCTGTACAAATATCAGGACATCGTTGGCTGAAGGCCTGTGTTTCGGCTCATCAACCCAGCACTTCTGCATGAAATCCCATAGAACATCCGCAATAGGCGGAGTCACTGGTCGAGCAGGCTTCCGGCCTCTGAGTATCTGCACAGTAACTTGATGGTCACTTCGAAATTCGAAATACGGAACTTTTCCTGTAAAAACCTACAAAGAGAGTGATAATCACATTGCATGGTGCCAAGATCCGCCACATACCTGCAACATGATACACCCGAAAGAATAGATGTCTGACGCTAATTGGGGCGAGCTTATTGACTCGTCATCCCCCGGGACTTGAAAGTTTTCAGGTGCAGCCCATCGCACATTGCTTCTGATATATGACGTGCCATGGAGCTCGGCACAAAAAATGAGAATCCCATGGTCAGCCACGAAGGCGTTGCCGTTCTCGTCAATGAGAATGTTATTCTGAGTCGTGTCAATAATTCCTTCGATGAAGAAGGTATCTGTGGTACTCACGCCGGTGAGATCGCCGTGAACTATTTTTTTGGAGTGCACTAACATCCATGTTAGCTTTGAGCCGAATACTGACATTTGTCGCATACAGTACTGAAGAGCTGAAGCAACATCTTTGAGCTGTCACAGCAAATATTAAGATGCGAGCCATACTACGAAAAAACACCCACAATTTGAAGTATTCGAGTAAGAGTGAGTTGCTGGAAATCACGTTCCAGAAGCATGGTAAGTGAGCCTTTGTGCATCCATGGGGAGACAATAGCAGGTAGCGGACCGAACCCTTGAGTTATTCCCAGGAAAGGTAACAAATTGGCGTGTTTCAGCTGAATGTTGCGCTGCAAGTCCCGTTCCAGTTTCTGAAGCAGCAAATAAACATGTAGTATCCGCGCGCAGGGACGCCCAAACCTCAATGATTGTTGTTTTGTAACTATCGTTTGGAATCTCAAGTCGCAAACACTTTACTGCAACCTGGCAGAGGTATACAGGGAGACAGTCAGTCATGGACGCATATCAACAGCTGCAAACTTGAAAGAAGTACTCGCCTCTACCGTGATTCGAGGGCGCTCGCGTGTGCACTTCCAGACATCCCCAAAGCTGCCTTGTGCGACAGGGTACCGGGATGACTCCTTGCTTATTTGCTCAGTGAGGTCGAGTAAACTAATAATCCATAGATACTAAGTAAAAATTGCGTGACACAAAAAAACAAACACATTCTTCGTATTCTTGTCAAGTATTGTTTTGACGTTCGCCTCTTGTACCGACTTCGAACCAAGCCCAAGGCTGGCAAATAGCAAGCGTAACCCCCACTTCTTCAGCCAGGCTTGCAATCGAGCGAGAACTTCCGAGACCTTCATGGATGATATTGTGGTGGTGGTAGCCTATGAGAACGAGACGAAATCTTGATGGAGTCACAGTTGTAAAGGCCTGCGATGACAGGGACACTTGGTCCTTGGAATTGGAGTAATATGACGACTTGCTGGAGATGGCGCAACGTTGTGCTATCCAGCGATAAGTTCATATTTATCCAGAGCGGTTGTACTAGTACTAGTAAGTAAAATTCAAAGGATCGAACATTAATATGATGACTTATTTGGCCCTTCCCTTCACCCAGACTGCGTGGTTTCAGGGGATCCTTCGATCGATGATGTGCCAAGCTGAGCGCGAGAATTATTCGGTTTCCTTCTGGATATAACGACCAATAGCCGTTTCCGACAATTCAACATCGTGTCCTGATCAACCTGTGCAGGCAGAGTCTGCCACTCGACTTGCCATTCCCAGCAGTATTCTGAAATTCATTACTTCATCAGGCCTCAGGCCTCAGGGTTCTATCATAGATTGCTACGAGCGCTCTATGACTACGATACGCACAGTTCGCATGTTTCTCCCTCGGGTTTATCCAATTGCATAATGAGAGAAGCCGCATCATCAAACTAATCTATGTAAGTCACCTTACGCCCCATGATTCAAGGCACAACTATATATAGCGTCAATCGTGGTGGTAAACATGATGTATTATGTCTACAAAAAATTTTACGGGTGTCTCATACTTGCATCATGTCAGTCAGACGCTCATGTGCTTGCTGGCTTTAATGCCGGAAGCCGAAGGTGCGAATGTTTGAACCCTGAGCTGCAGGCAGTGACTCAAATAGTCTTGTTATGCCTAGGGTATAGCATGGGTATGGGGGTCACGGGTATGGCGGGTATGGGTACGGTGTCAAGATGTGCTACCCGTGGTCATACCATACTCATCAGGCGTATGGGTACGGGTCGGGATTTCAAAGACCCATGACCCGCCGTGTACCCGTCACTTCCATATATGGTAATGATTGTTCAAGTACTGTTTCGCTTGACTCCACTTCACTTAATTGTTATTTACTGCCCTTGTTGCTTGTACAGTGATATCTTGCCATATCTAATGAAGGGGCACTATTTCAATGGGCTAAAGTCAGTTGGCATGAAATTTTCAGACTGTTTCAGGGAGATTGCGAGCAACAAGACCAAGTGACCCGAGGTGACAATTCCAATGGTTGCCTTAAGCAGTACTTTGGTATATTTTTTAATCTATTCCAAGTCCATGTATCAACAATGGGTGCATAGGTGTATGCTGCACTCCTTTGGAAGGCCAATGGATCTCCAATCAAGTTCAATTTTACTGGTAATTTATTCAGTGAGGTCTACTTTTTTCACATGAAACTTCTCAAGAAAATGAGGGGGACCGCACCAGGCAAGTTTCATAAAATGATGGCCAACATCTTTGACACTATACAGTGAGTTGATTTCTACACTGCTATTAACTATCGTATCTGAGTCTCACCTCTTCATAAGAAACCTGTGCCAATGGCAATGCTGCTGTAGTAGGATCATTTGACTCCACAATGGCATTCCTTGATCTTGATGGTATGGATGATAAAGAGTAGAATTCTGGGTTGTTATATAGTCACATCTCATGATGAGAGGCTGAGTGTGGATGGATAGAAGAGCTAGTAAAGTATAATCTCAGTTACCTGATAGGAAACTCTTTTTTTTAAAAAAATCCAATTTCTGTCCATTGGGGTAATTGTAAGCCAGGCTTACCACATGTGACAGACATGCCTCCTCATTGGGCACCACATACTATTTGGCCTCTGTTTGGATCAACGACCTTGGTCCATATATATAGCTCGACATATACACACTCGCATCTTAGCCTCTTACTGTATCATCAATCCATACGCTCTTCCATGTTACTGCTTGTCTGTCAGTGTTTCTGTTGACATGATGGCTTTACACTTTTTTTAACGTTCAGCTGAGTGTATTAAGTCTTATCTGATACATCGTTCTGTTATCGTTCCTGTCTCTCATGCCATTGTTTTTTCCCACTGCAGCAGCTGTTTGGGTACTGACTCAGGTCAACCTGCTGCTGCATTATCGACAAACTGCCTCCCCACCGCTATTGTGCTGTCCCTTCAACAACTGTCACTACATGCAGTCATAGTAAAGCCCTTACTGTGCTCGGTGATAGTAACTCTGTGCCGACCAGCAGTGATATATTGACCCCTCCTACCACTACTGCTGCATTGAATATACCGCCTCTGAATCCAAATCATCAACCATTGCTGACACCTACACATATATCCACCTCAGAATCCACAGACTCAGACCTGTCAACACACATTATGTCAGCAACTACTAAGATGGCCTGCATAGAACAAGTGTTGGCGAGTAAACCACCATTCCTTACTGCAGGGCAAATCACGCCTGAAGCATTACACGGCTGGGAAATGGGTTGCACCCAATATTTCCTACATAAGGAGGTGAAGGATGATGAGGAGGTGAAAAAGGTTGCTTGGGGAATGCAAGATCCTATCATACAAGACTGGTATCTGAATAACCAAGCAAAGTTTGACACACTGACCTTCAAGGACTACCTCACATAAGTCCATACCTACTGGCTCCCAACCAATTGGTCAGACACCATCCGTCGCAAGATGTTAGTGTCAATGCAAGGAAGTTGCGCATTCAGTGAGTGGGCTGTTGACATTCAGAGTCAAAACACACTCCTGCATGGCATGACTTCACATCTTGACGACAAAAGCCTACTCTACCATCTGGAATTGCACATGAACTCTGACCTTGCGGCTGACTACTATGCAGAAAATATCACAGAGAAGGACTTACACAAGTGGACCAAGAAGGTTCGCCTTCTCGATGAGAAGTGCTTGTGTTACCTTGTATGACAAAAGGAAGCAGTTGACGCTGCCTTGTGAGCTGAACGGGCCCATGCGGGTGCCGACAGGAAGAGTACAATGAACTCATGTCCTAATGTCAGAAACAATGGCTTGTCCGCTACCAACAAGAACTTCATACACTTACCTACCCTAACCGATATTGAACGACAGCTCCTATGTAATAACAAAGGATGTTTCAAATGTCATGAACCCTTTGCTGGACACACTTTGAACAGATGTCCAAAGGGTTTCCCCAATGGAGCAATGTACAAGGTGTTAACAGCAGCCACCATCGCTGCCAAGAAGGCCAAGAAGGGCGGAAATGTTGTGGCTGCTGTGGATGTTGAGGATGAAGGAAAGAACATGGTTGCTGCTGTGATGCCTGTCAGTGGTACTAGGGGATGGTACTGACTCTGGCAAAGAGTGTGTGGCCCTAATACAAACTCCTCACCTTCGCTGGAACTGTCTTCTTGATGGGCCTGTGGTCATGTCTCCTATCTCCGTGTCGGCACTTATTGACCATGGTTCTTCTTTAGTTCTGATTGGTGAAGCTCTCATTGCAAGACTGGGTCTGCACCGTCAAAAACTCGCCAAACCGCTACCAGTTAACGCCTGCATTGTCTCAAAGCAAAGAAAAATTCATTCTCTCGCATTATGTCAAGTTGACTTGTACTTCTATTGATCAAATGTTTATGTCGCAGACTGTACACGCAATCATTGCACCAAACCTTTGTATGCCCTTGTTACTCAGAGGGCCCTTTCTTGAACATAATTGCATTGTCATTGACCATGAGCTACATACTTGCATTGCAAAAGACACTAACTATGATCTTTTGAAGGATTCGACAATGTCAGTTACACCCAAGGCGAAACAAAAGGCCATGTTTGGGCCATGAACTGCTCTGGATGAAGTGAGATGTCGTGAATGAACTTAACCTCGTCCTCCCTGAACTGAAGACATTCATCAAATGTGAATGCAAGGAAGTAAAGGGCATCAATGTCGTTGCAGCTATACAAGCCAAGATTGATGACTTGGTTGAGCAGGACTGGTTAAAAAAATGCAATAAAGATTTCAAGAACAAGTTCAAGGACCAGTTTCCAGCAGATATTCCTCATAACAACACAATGCTGAGTGATGTTTTATTTCATATCAATTTGAAAGATGCTAACAAAATAGTGCAACAACGTTCTTATGATTGTCCAAGAAAATATCAAGCTGCTTGGAAGACATTACTCGACTTGCACCTTGAAAGTGGACGCCTACATCCATCAGATAGTGAGTGGTCCTCACCCTCCTTCATCATACCAAAACTGGACCCTACTGTCCTACCACGATGGGTTAACAACTTCCGGCATCTGAATCTGAACACAATACCAGATAATCATCCATTGCCATGGATTGATGAAATCCTGAAAGACTGCACTAAGGGCAAGTTCTTTGGGAAAATCAATATGACTAATGCATTCTTTCAGACATGCATGCACCCTGATGATATGAAGTATCTAGCAGTCCACACTCCATTTGGCAAATTTGAGTGGACGGTTATGCCGATGGGGGTATGAAACGCTCCTGCAGTACACCAGAGACGAATGATGATGGCACTTTGGCATTTGATTGGGAAGATATGCCATGTCTACCTTGACAACAT